TGTTTTCTGAGCCTGTGAGCCTAGAGCCTAGAGCTCAGAAAACAACGCGAACCACCACCACACCACCACCTCCTCCTCCTCCCGAGTGGACTGAAAGCAGCTGGGGCTGAGGAAATGAAGCCAAGCAGAGCTGAAGCCACCTCGGCTCGCATTGTTTTCTGAGCCCGCGAGCCTAGAGCCAGGGCGCTTTCATTGCACGGCGGAGCTTCTTGTCTCGGGAAACACCGGGCGTCGTTGCTGCCCCCTGAGGGGAGGGCGAATTTGGGCTGCGCGATTGGGGGACTTCGTGGCTTTGGGTGGGAGCGAGGACGGATGGAGTCCGTGAAGTGGGGCTTGCCTGCCCTTGCTGGCTGCCTCTGCTTCCTTAGGGGCGGGGAAGGGGGCTCATCTGGACCAAGGGTGAGTCTCTCCCTCAGTTTCCCCAGAAGGATCTTCCGTTGCTTTTGCCTTCTCCCTACGTCTTCCCTCTGTTAAAATCCCCCCACACACACACACACTTATTTTCGGGAGGATAGATTTCGTGTCTGAGCATTCTCACATGATGGTGGGTCTTCCCCCCCAAAAAAAAACAGTTAAAAAAAGAAAAAACAATATATCCTCATGCAAGAACTTTTCTGCTTCCGATTACCCCCATGCTTACAAGTTGCAAAGGAAACACGGAAGCAGGGAAGCGGCTGCCCAGCTCCGGAGCTCCACACCATTTTTTTTTCAGAGGGGAATCTCACTCGAGTATAAGCTGAGGGGGGTTTTTTCAGCACAAAAAATGGGCTCCCTCCTATTAAGTTGCAGACCGCCATGAAAAAAAGCATCCAAACTTACTTTCTTTCTCCTTTGTACCATTCAAAAGCTGGGGAAGGAACACCCGCACTTTCACATCTTATGAATCCAGTGCCTCCAAGAGTCACTCCACTGGATTTTATTTCCTGAATTGTTGGGGCAACTGCAAGGAAGCACAAATATGTTTTTGAGACATTAAACACTTGTTGGAAGCATATACGTTTAATAATAATGATTTTTAAAAAAATTATAATACAGTAATGAAACCTGATTTATTTATGTTGGCTTCTTAGAATCTAAAGCACATTTGTTAATTTATTCCACATATTAGACCTAAGGATGCTCACTGAGTTTCTTACAAAAGGCAGGTCCAAAATTCAAATTTGATCCTCCCCTATGGTTATTCTTCTTGTGAAAAATAAAGGCATTTGAACTCAGAAAATTATTGAACGAAACAAAAGTATTTTATTGGGTCTGTCAATAGCAAAATGTGCAACTGTCAAACATGTTTCTGATAATATGTTTTCTTTGTTCCTAAAACTGTAAGTACAATAAAGACGCAAGGCCACTGAAGTTCTATCATTTCCTGCAGGGCCAGCATAATCCTAGATTGCTTGTCTATGCTTTCTTTTGCTAATATTCAACATTGTTTTAATTAAAGATATAGCAACACCTTCTCCCCTCAAATTATTTATAGAGGAACATATTAATAAGCTCTACCAAAATAGACTTTACCACAGCTCTGAATACAGTCTGTTAGTGTCAAAACCCTTTTAAAAATATTTCTTGAGCAATGTGTACAGGAAAGAATGTATGCTTTTATGTGGTGAATATCAAAAAAACCATACACACACACACACACACTCACTGGGACAAGTATCATTAATACATTTGGATCAGGAAAATGTTAAAGAAAAGCAGACATTAGGTCCTTATTCTATGGTAGAAAGAAAGACATCGGGGTAGATATAGAAAAAGTGTGTCAGAGATTAATGTTTAAAACTTTGGATGGATTTGTAAAGTTATTTGCAGAAACATTGCATGTGAGAGAAAACTACAAATGATAATTGGATGTAGAGACCATAAAGTGCACAATGAATTAGGGTACAAACTTATTAATTTTAATAGCAGAACTCACCATATTTATACACAATGTATTCATTCATTCATTCATTCATTCATTCATTCATTCATTCATTCATTCATGCACAGTTGCATTCATTCAGTTACAGATTGCCCACTTCCACAAAAGAACCCAGTGCAGTTTATAGTCATAAAGAAATAATACAGTAAAAACAGTTCTGCATCAAAACTGACATAATCAATCCAAGCCAACTCTGGCATCATCAGTTCAAAAAGTCCTTCAGAACCATAGATTTTAACAATTTTTTGTTTGAAGAGAAGGAAGTTGAGGCTATTGTTACTTTAGGATGCAAAACACTTCAGAAAAATGAAGGTGTCAGCAAGGCTTGTTTTCAGACTCCCTATCAAACTTTGAAATGTGCCCTGCTGTCGCAGACATCTTTTCGTTTCTCAGCTTGCCACAGACTATGCAGCAGTAGTGGGGGGGAATGCCAGCCTAGACAACAACAAGAAATCATCCAGTGGAAACTAAGGTCATCTCAACAGATCTTTCGCAAGGGCCTGAAGGAGTTGCTATAGTGACACTAGAACATCTAATTGGACAATGTGACCTGATAGAAGGAGGGGAGGAAATAATTTGTCCTTTATTTGGGTGAAAACTCTGGGAACTAGTTAGAGTTGGTTTTGCTTCATGTGTGCTGAAATGATGTACTCAATAAAGTTATGCTTAAAGAGATCTAACCATCTCGACTTGCTGGCTTGGTTGGGTTTGTCAGTCAGAACGTTGACACTCCCATCTCATCTCTCACTTCAAAGTTATCCTAAATAAGCTGAATCTGAGTGGGAAAGATAGGATTGACATTTCTTAGATGACAAGCCATGCAGGTAAATGACAACTTTTATAAAAGAACATACAGTATACAGTGGCCATTTCCCCCCATACTGCATCTGAAACCTAAGAATTTGAAAATCAGTTAAACGGAACCTATTTACAATAATCAATAATTGATTTAGGAATATCAGTAGTCCTGTTTAATAGATTATACTTGGAATGTATAATAGCAATAGCACTTAGACTTATATACTTCTTCACAGTGCTTTACTCTCTAAGTGGTTTACAGAGTCAGCTTATTGCCCTCAACAATCTGGGTCTTCATTTTACCGATCTCAGAAGGATGGAAGGCTGAGACAACTTTCAGCTGGTGAGAATTGAACTGCCAAACTGCTGGCAGCTGGTGATCAGCAGAAAAAGCCTGCAGTACTGCATTCTAACCACTGTGCCACCCTGGCTCTGGGGTAAGAATAAGGCAATTCCATTACATCCTAGATGTAATTTTATTTTTTGTCACTATCAGAAACATCCAGAGTATACTTGAGTTTTCCCTACATCTTTACAACAGTTGAAAAGTCTGGCTTAAAATAATAAATCTACGAGCTATGGATTTTGTTAGTGATTTGAAGAGAAAGGTTCATGTAGATCACAAATAACAGACCTATTTGAAAATGTGGTGAAAATTACTAGAATTCTATAATACAAAAATATTTGCAGGATGAGATAAACTAATATTGACTATTTACTTTAATGGCAAATCATCAAAGATTCAGGCGCCGCACACCATTGTATATGATGTTTGGAGCTAAAATTTCTAGTAGATTATTGGTAATGTACCAGGCAATCGTGAATTTCTATAATATGGTAGACGACCTGGAATACTTTTGAATGAAAATATACAAAGCCTTGTGTACTATGAAATATACAGTATAAAATATGAAATGTGTGTGTATGTATATGTATATGTATATGTGTGAGTATATATATATATGTGTGTGTGTGTGTGTGTGTATGTATATGTATGTGTATATATATGTGTGTGTATGTATACACACACACACACACATATATATATGGATCTTTGGTTATTCGGGTTTTCTCCCGCGTAAGATTGGAAGTACCTAGGCAACGTTTCGATGAAGTCTCATTCATCATCTTCAGGCTTGTGTCTTCTGCTCTAAGCTTTTTTTGTCTTGATTGGCTGGCAGAATAGAAGAGATGACTCCACCAGACTGTCAATTATCTGGAAGCCTGCACTCTCAAACAAAAAAAATCTCCACACCACAAGCCAGGCAAACACCTGGGCACAAACAGACTCCCTCTGATACCTCCAGCTCAAACATACCCCAACCAGGCACCCAGATGAAACCTAGCTTCCTAATAAATGATAGCCATCCGTTTACTCGGAGCCAAGCCACACTAAAAGCCTCTAATACAGGAAACACAATGTTGCCAGCCAATCAAGACAAAAAAAGCTACAAAATAGACAGAAGATATTAGAAATACCAATCAAGCAGAATATAGCAAACTCCAAGACCAATAAACATAGACCAAGACTCCCAACCAATCAGGAAGAAGAAAAAAACATTTTGGCATAGCAGTAGGCTAGCACCAAATTTAAAACAGAAAAAGCTGTGAAAGTCTGACTCACAGACGAACACTATACAGAAGCCTGATGATGGCAGATGAGATTCTGCCGAAATGTTGCTACAATTTTAAAAGCACAACTATAATGATGTGGGAAAATACCCGAACAAAGCTGAATACCATACACACACACACATACACACACATGTATGTATGTATGTATGTATGTATGTATGTATGTATGTATGTATGTA